TCCTTCACTGGGGACTTGGCCTTCTCAGGTGACTTGGCCTCTTCCTTCACTGGGGATTTGGCCTTCTCAGGGGACTTGGCCTCCTCCTTCACCGGTGACTTGGCCTTCTCTGGGGACTTAGCCTTCTCTGGAGACTTGGCCTCCTCCTTCACCGGGGACTTGGCCTTCTCAGGTGACTTGGCCTCCACAGGGGACTTGGCCTCTTCCTTAGCTGGGGACTTGGCCTTCTCTGGGGACTTGACCTCAGTTGGAGATTTTGCTTCTTCTTTCATGGGAGATTTAGCTTTCTCAGGGGACTTCACCTCAGCTGGAGATTTAGCATCTTCCTTAGCTGGGGACTTGGCCTCAGCTGGTGATTTTCCTTCTTCTTTCATGGGGGACTTAGCCTTTTCTGGGGACTTGGCCTCTTCCTTCACTGGAGACTTGGCCTCAGTTGGGGACTCAGCTTCCTCCTTCTCTGGGGACTTGGCTCCAACTGGTGACTTGGCCTCTTCCTTTTCTGGAGATGCAGCCTCTTCTGGGGGAGATTTTGCTTCTTCTTCTCCCCCTTCTGCTTCCTCCTCCTCACCTTTCTCCTCTTTGGCCTCTTTCTCTTCTTCTTCAGTCACTTCTTCAGTCACTTGGATCTCTTCTGTCTGTTCCTCCAAAATCACGGTTTCCTTCTCTGATTTTTCTACCACCTTGATCTTCTCTTCACTTTTGACCTTTATGTGAGTGGATGTAGAGGGGATTTTGGGAAGTCCTTCTGGAAGGGAGAAAGGACTGGGGCCAAAGCCAATCCGACATTCTTCACCCTCCAGGAGTTTTCTGCAGAATGGATAACAGAACACATTACTATTATTAACTCAGAGCAGACTGATGAGTTGCGGGTCTTCTTGAGTTACTCTGAAGATCCACAGAATCCAATGATATGGACTTTGGTGGAGGAAGCAATGTGAATGGTGGACAATTTGAGTCTGGAAATAGTCACTTAGCAAATCATCCCAGGGACAACCAGAATCTGTACCCCAATGGCACTGCTCTTGTTTTATGCGGCTAAGGCTGCAACTTCTAAAACAACGCCCCCATCCCAAAATGGCCCTCGAGAGAGAACACCTGTATTAGCAAAAATTACAGTAACTATCCCTCAACTAAAATATTCAAGAGGAAGGTGGGAGCCTGAGCAAACAATTTCACATTTATAAATTTGGACTTCTGGGGACTTAACATCAACATAAGAGGTCTTAGAATTCCCACTGGAATTTCAAGAGTCCCCAGTCACTTATACTCTCATCCTTTGAGTTTTAGGAATAGGGTGGGGATGGCAGTGTCTGCTCTTTCCTACTCAGTAAGTATGTGACCTCAACCAAGCCATTCTGACTCTTAAAGTCTCAGTTTCTTCATTGGCAAAAAGAGGGTCATAAGAGCCCCTCCCTCAGAGGGTTGTTTCGATGAGATAATAAATAAAAAGGACCTGGCAGTGCCTGACTGTAGGATTACCCTACACCTGCACTTTGCAAACTTAACAGCATACAAATTCCCCAGGGATCTGGTTAAAATGCAGATTCTGATTCAGTAGGTCTGGGGTGGGGCCTGAGAATCTGCCTTTCCAACACGTTTGTGAAGATGCTGATTGTGCTGGTTCACCCACTGCATTCTGAGCAGCAAGATTACAGACTAGACCCAAGAGGTGGGACATGAAGGGTCACCTGCCAGCAACTGGGAGAGATCACTGGGTCAGCCTGCTCCGCAGCAACAAACTGCTCCGCTGGGAGGTCTCAGGGCCATCTCCTGGCTACCATTTACTGAGGGCCTTCTCTACGGCCACCCAGCTGTACCCGGATTTGCTTCAAAACTGGATTAGTTCCTCCTCCCCATGGCCCTGTGACAGGAGTACTGTTACCATCTCCATTTAACTTCCTCAGGAAACAAAAGCCCAGGGAGCTAAAAACAAAACAAAACCAAAAAAGCACTAAGTGAGTTGTCCCTCTGACAACTCAGGTACCTCCTTTCCCTCCAAAGCAAGTCTCTACCTGGCCAGATTTGGTGAGGGGTGAGGAACGTTAATTCTCTAAGTCACTGGCAGAATGAAAAGAAGCCACCCTCGAGACTTCTTTCAGAAAGTAGAATGACGGTTGCTAGGGCCAGAGGAAAGGAGGAAAAAGGAGTGGGGAGTAATTCTTTAGTGAGCGCAGGATTTCAGTTTGGGAAGATGGAAAAAGTTCTAGAGGTAGATGGTGGTGATGGTTGCACAAGGTAAATGTATGTATACTTAAATGTATGTATACTTAAAAATGGTTAAATAGCAAATTCCATATCCTATACATTTTACCACCAAAAAAAAAAAATTCTTTTTTGTCTCTAAGATAGGCAGGTCATCTTGCTGGGAACCTGAAACTCAGTGCAAAGCTTCTCATAAGAACACAAGGGCTCCCCACCATCCCAAAGACCCCCCCAGCCCACCTCACCTGTAAGCAGCAATCTCAATATCCAGAGCCATCTTGACATTGAGCAGGTCCTGGTACTCTCGGAGCTGGGCTGCCATCTCCCACTTGGTGTTCCTCAGCTCAGCATCCAGCTGCTGGATGGCTTCCTGGGGAGGTGAGGTCACACACACATCACACACTAGCCAGCACTTGGCCCTCAGCACCAGAGAAGCTGGAGCACACCATGCAAACCCAAAGCAGTCCCATCTAGCCAGACTCACTGGGGCCAACATCCACACTGCCAAAGCTATGGGAGCCTCATTCGAGGACGTGGAAACCACCTGGAAGAAAAATCCTGCTGCATGTCTGTACAACCTCAGCCTGGGGAGTGATTTAGAATGAAACACACCAGCCACCAACAATGGTTATCAATGGTCAGTGGGATGACAGGTGAAGTTTTAGAGATCTTTTGAACTTAGAAAACGTTCTGCAGGAACAGAGCCTTGTCTGCTTTGGCTCCGGGTGCTCCTAAGTGCCTACTGAACAGTAAGGGCTGAGGAAACACCTGTGGCTGAGGACTGAAGTCATACACAGAAACCCGCCAAATAGCGATGGAAACTTCTCCCCTGTCCCCAGGCTCTTAGCCACTGCTGAAAGTGAACCATTAGGGCTGATTTTTATTGCCTCTTTTTTGCTTTCTCCATTTCCTAATTTATCCATAGTCCCCATAAATTAACTCACATGAGGTCTTTAGGTCATCTTCGGGGTGTCTGGGTGGCTCTGATGGTTAAGCATCTACCCTTCAGCTGGGGTCATGATCCCAGGGTCCTGGGATTGAGCCTCACATCGGGCTCCCTGTTCGGTGGGGAGTGTGTTTTCCCCTCTGCCTCTGCCTCTCTCCCTGTTTATGCTCTCCCTCTCTCAAGTGAATAAATAAAATCTTAAAAAAAAAAAAAAAGAGTCATTTTCTTTTGCCAGCTATCTTTAATGGAAGTAATCTGCCAAGGCCTTCCCTAGGCTACCCACGTTTGCAGATGCTGGTTATAGTTTACCAAATGCCCACCATGACCCACACCCCGCTGAGCAGGCTCACACTCATCTCGTGTAAAGTCTGTCCATCTCTTTAACCTTCACAGCTCTGCAAAGTGGACATGCTTTTTCTTTTCCCCCATTGCACTGGAGGAATTCAGATTCAAAGAGGCAGATAACTTTCCTGGGGCCACTCAGCTAGAAAGACATACTGGTACCCCTTGCATGTCTGACTCCAAGGCCCATCCACAGTCTTCACCACTACAACCCTGCTGAGAGAGGGACAGTGACTTGTCCAGGATCACCTGAGCAGGAAGGGTAGTCTGGCTCTCTGCCCCATCCCTGCCCACCTGGTAGGATGCGATGTCAGCCTGATGACGGTCCTCCAGCTCAGAGCGCTGTCTCTCTAGTGACTCCTTGGTGCCTTTGAGAGCCTCTAGCTCTGTAGTCCTGGCCTGTAGCTGGCGGCGATACTCTGTTATCTCCTCCTGTGCTGAGCGCATGGCATCTGTATTGACCTTGGCCGCCTCTGATAGTCGGTCCAGCCTCACTGTGGTAGAAGGAGACAAGGCACAGAATTAGACACACCTGGAATTGGATTCTAGAGCCCAGATCCCAAAGGTGACACGCATGGCTTGAAGACCCACTGAGTGCCCAGTGCCATCTTGGATTCTTAACCTACCCTCTACCATTCAAAGCCAGCTAGTAATAAGCAGTAGATTCAAATCTAGTGTCTGGCTGGTTCCAACAGTCAGACTGTCTCCCCAAATTCAAGATCTGAAACCCCACAGGACAGAGGACGCTCCGATTTCTGGTCCTAATACCTGGTTCAGCTGGGTTGAACCCAGCTGTCAATGCTGGGAATTCAGATGTGAAACTTGGCTGACAGGGCTTAACTCTGAGCTTGTGGTGGAACAAGGTAAAGAGCCTGTGACCTCTAGAGGCGTGAAGGTGCTGTGAGCCACTAGAAGCCACAGCCCCTTCCTTGCAGGTTTTGGTTCTGCAGAGCCCAAGGTCACTGTGGAGCCTGGGGGGCCCACATGCCAGCTTCTCTGTCCCTTCCCCCACCTGGCTGTGCATTCTCTAGCACAGGAATCCTTGTGTCAATGGCAGCCACACCCTGGGCCCTGTGAACAATGGGCTGCTGGTTCCCAGAAGACCTTCTAGGACCGGTGGAGGTCTGGAGACTAGTCTATGTCTCCTGAAAGTGAATATCGTGAATCCCAAGATAATAAAAGCCAGGGCATGAGTCTTGGGAAGGTGAAGAGGAGAGAAAGGAAGCCAGCTGGGTGGGCCAGAAGTCCTAGAATGGTTTGTTTGTGTAAAGGGCAAAGCCCAAGAGAGCAGAGAGGTTTGCTCTGGGAGGTGTCTTGCTGCAGAGATGGGGGAAGGGAAGGTACTGCCACTGCAAAGGAGAGGAAAATGGGGAAAACCAGGCATCTGAGTCCCAGCTTTCCTGGCTTTCCCTGCTAGCGTTGGCAAAGACATAGAAACCATCAAGGTGGGTGAGGCTTCTTACCTCTGTGGACCACAGACCTATTTGAAAATCGCTGGAGCCTGTGCACCCTCTCCCAAGGAAAATGCAAAAGTTTTACACAGTTTCAGGAAGGATCATGTAGCTCCTCCTGAGTAAGAGGCTCAGCGGGTCAACCTCCTCCCCTTTCAACCCCCAAAGAAATGAAAACCAGAGAAGGCAAGCATTGCCCAAGGTCACCCTGCAGCTGCTGGGCACAGCTTCAGAGCTGCTGCAGCTGCAATCTAGCTGACTCAGAGGGCATGGAGTTGGAGGAGGGGGGAGCTTGAGAAGCTTCCAGCTTCTCAAGGGGACAGAGGACATTAAGGCACCACCTCAGCGTCATGCACCCATTAGCTGAGGTGATGGTATCTCCCGGGAGAAAGGATGTGAGAATGCCCCACTGGGGAGGAGCCTGATAGGGGTCTGGAGAATGAGGTCCCCTGCAGAGTGCAGGCAAGAGGGATGAGCAGTGCTGGACAGGAAAGGCATGTTACTTTGAAGGGCAAAGGCTCTCCAGTGCCTGTAACTGGAAGCTGGCACTGCTTTGGAACTGTAGAAGGAACCTGATGGAAACGGGCCTTAGAGTGGGGCTCTCTAATCTTGGGCAGGGGCAACAGAGGAGACCCAGAGTCTCAGGACAGATATAAGGACCCTGGAGGAGGGCAGCCAAAGGACAACCCAGAATTTCAGGGAAGGGAGAGGGGTGTCTCCAGAGACCCGGGGGGGAAACTGTTATTTAACACTTTGCAGGGGGAGGCTGAACAGCACACCCTCCAGCCCAGCCACCTTTACACAGACTGCACCCGGCCCAGCCAGGAGGGGGCGCCCCCTCCCTCATGCGCCCACGAACCTCGGAACCACTCCTCCGACTGCAGGGTGCTCTGCACCGCGTGGCCTTCAAGTTGCGCGCGGATCTCGCGTAGCGCCGACGTCACGTCGCACTTCAGGGCGTCGCGCGCCTCGGCCTGCGCCTGCGCCTGCGCGGCGCCGCAGCCCTGGATCTGGCCGAGCAGCTCGCCCACTTCCTCCTGGTGGTGACGCCGCAGGTAGCCGCACTCTTCCTGCAGCGCTTGCGCCTTCTTCTGCAGCTCGACGCGCGCCGCCTCGGCCTCCTGCGCAAAGCGCGCAAGTGCGCGCGCCGCCGCCTCGGCCTCCTCCCGCTGCCGGGCCTCGTCGTCTAGGCGCTGGCGCACGTGCGCGATGTCTTCCAGCAGGTGCTCCTGCTCCAGGCGCAGCTGACCGCGCGCCGCGCCCAGACGCAGCACAGCGCCGCGCATCTCGCGCACCTCTCTCTCGTATAGCTCGCCCATGGCGGCGCGGCCAGCGTGCTGCTGCCGCAGGGCCGCCGCCTCGCCTTCCAGGCTGCGATTGTGAGCCTCAAGCTGCCTCACCTTGTCGATGTAGCCCGCGAAGCGGTCGTTCAGCGCCTGCAGCTGCTCCTTCTCGCTGCGGGCCGCTGCTGCTGCCACCACGCAGCCCTCCGGTCCGTTGCTCAGCGTGTCTAGCGAGTCGGTGCTTGAGGTGGCTGCTGCGCCTCGGAAGCGGCTCGGGGAGGCCGACACGGAGCTCACGGATGTCCGGGCCCAGGAGTGGAAGCCACTGGATGAACCCGCAGCAGAGCGCGCTCCGCCCGCGCCGCCCTTGCGGGCCAGCGCGTAGTGCAGGCTGCCGCCTCCATGTAGCGGAGCGAACGGGGCGCCCAGCAGCGCGTCCGCGCCGCTGAAGCTCATCATGGCGGGAGCAGGTGCGGCCGCCGGCGGAGGGGGATACCCAAGGCCGGGACTGGGCGGGCGGCACTGCGGCAGCACCGGGATGCCGGCCTTTTTATAGCGGCCGGGTCGGGTCCAGCCCCTTGGCAGTGGGGGGGAGGGGGCAGGAGAGGAGGGCCCCGCCCTCTCTGCCTCCTCCCCAGCTGCCGGGGCTGGGCCGCTCCGCTCCGCCGCAGTGAGAGGGGCGGGGCAGGGGGACTCTGGAGTGCAGGGGAATCAACGCGGCGTCAGTGGAGCACTCCGAGGTCGGGTTAGGAGGTACAGGACTCCTGGAGTGGAACGGTGGGGACCCCTGGATGCGAGTCAGAAGACCCTGCTACTGTGCTCGGAAATAGAAAAGGGACCCAAAATAGGGAGAGGACAAGGAGTCCTGGTGGGAATAGGAACAGGGTGCCTTTGGGATGGAGCGATGGATGACTCTGTAGTCAGTAGGATGAAGAGACCCCTGAATGGGGGCGGGGGGCACAAAATTTTCCTGGAAGTTAGGACTCAGGATAGGGGGTGCAGCGTGTCTGGAGCCAGTCCGGAAGAGGGGAGGGAGCAAAGTAATCCTAAATGGACTCATGGTGGATGCTACAGAAGGTAGAGATAGAAGACTCCTGAATAGAAATACTCTTTCCCTAATACCTAGGAAGCCACCAGGAAGAAATGCAGCCCGCTATGGAATAGGGGAGGGGGACTTGGAGTTGGGAAGGGCGGCAAGGGCACTCTGAATTGGGGTCTGGGAGACATCTCAGAGGATGGAGAGAGGGAAGCCAGGATGGGAGACACAGTGGTCCCTGGTATAGGAAGGAGACCCGGAAGCTGGCCCCAGCAAGGAGGGCCCTCAGTGAAGGAGGCACAGAGGGTCCTCTGAATAGGCCAGAGGAACGTGGGTTGTGGGAGGGTCAGAGAACCCAGAGTGGGGCTTCTGTGGGGGCTGGGCATGAACTAGAGCCCGTGTGGGGTGGGGGGAAGTGACAGGTGTCCTAGGAGTCATTCAGGTCAGGATCTAAGGTCTGAGGTCAGCTTCACAGTTTGCTGGCTAAATGACCTTGGAGAAGTTGTGCCTCCCCTCCCATTTTTCCCATCTGTACCTTGCCCTGGGATAAGCTGCAACTAGAGACCCACCAGAGGCATCTGCTTTGGGGGAGTCTCTGGCTGAACTAGGGAAAGGGAACCCATATACTGCCTGTAGACGCGGCAGCCACTTTCCCACAAGTAGGAAGTCCTTTCTCCCTCTTTTCTCCTCATTTCCTGCACTTTGACTTGTCATCTGTCATCCCTCCCCCGGCACCTCCACAACAGAGAAGTGGATAGTGCAGTGATAGGCATCCCTTATAGCCCCCAGTGAAGTGGTGGGATGCTTCCAGGGCATCAAAATCCCTTACTTCCATAATCTCGGATGGGAGGTCAGATGGATACAGGGGCTCCTGGGATTTGGGGTGCTATGCTGGTGTTATACCACTTTTCCTTGAACTTTCATTCTCATGTGAAATGCCTTGGGAGTGGGGAAGGGCTGTGTCCGGTGCTTCAGCACCGAGGACAGGGCCTGCTCCTTTGGTGAGAAAGCGGTTAATCTCTGCCTTTACCTAGGAGCAGGAGAGGAGGGATGTATGTATATGTGCCAGGCAGATGGGAACTGAGGAGGGTGCTGAATGATCCTGCAGGACTACTCTGGGAGCTGGGGACCCAGCCCCTCGACCTTCTGCTAGGGCGTCCATTCCCCTGTTTTCTATGAAGTTCTCCCACATACACATCTGGGCTTTCCTGCTCCTCCTTTGGGACTCCCACCATCTTTTTCTGGGAAGGAGCCTTGAGACTCCCCTCCCAGATCTGAGCCTCCCCTCAGGCAGTTACTCAACCCCCACTACATTTCCAGTTTATACTGGTTTTCTTTCTGTGGGCTTCCCAGGATGGGGACAGACAGATTTCCCCCAGAAAAGACCGCTGCCAGTTTGTTTCTCCTTGCTCTCTGTCTCATTTCCAGACCCCTGGTCCTAAAAAGACCCTCAGAGATGAGGAAGTGATGGTACTGTCCCTTTAACCACATTTTACTGGAAGGAGAGTGCGCTTGGAGAAGGAAGGAGGGGGAAGGGAGTTTCTGGTTCTGAATGGAGAAGCAGAACATGATGAAGCATTTTCCCCCCATTTAAAGATCCAGTCACGAGCCAGTTTGCAGGGGGCCGGAGGGGCTCGTTTGCAGTCGGTGCTGGGAGGAAGGAGGTGAGTGTCTGGTCTGACACTTCTGAGAATGGCTTCTAGGGGGGCTTGAGCAGAGCCTCTGTGCTCTCATGTGGCTCCCCATTTACTTGTCATTCTGCTTGGCATTTTGCCAGTAGAGCTTTGTTCCTTTGGGTCTTTTCAGTCATTTGCATAACGCAGATGCCTCCTCAGGGTGTGGGATGGTTGATAAGCAGCTGACAGTGAGGAAGAGTGGTGAGGGGAGCTCCTTAAGTGTTGGGGGCCAGGGGTCCAAGATGAATTCTGTCAAGGCCAGGGGACCACAACCATGGGATCACAGCTCCCTGTGAATTCCAAGCAAGAAATCCCAAGCATGATTTGTGTGGCTGGAAAAACAGCATGAGGGTGGGAGCCCTGAGTTCATCCTCCCAAAGGACCCTTCTGACTCATTTCCAGGAAGCCATTTCTAGCCTCCTTTACCTCCACATTTCGTTAATTATCCCCTCCAAGTTCTCTAGTGCTAATCCGCTACACTGCCCTTAACCACTCTCATTGGCTGAATGAATGAATGAATGGGTGAATAAATTACATCAGTTCTCCAGCCAAACTTGGGGTCTAGAGGAAATTAAAAATTGTTCTGTCCTGAGTCCTTGGGTCTCAAATTGCTTTCACCTTCCTCCCCTCAATTATTACCATTTGGAAATGAGAAGAATAACAGAGTCATTCATTCATTCATTCATAGAATAACATATTCATTCATTCTTCCATCCACCCGTCCATCCATCCATCCATCCATCCATTACCTGTTTACTGAGCACCTGCTTTGTGATAGGCACATACAAAACACTGAGGTTACAGAATCCCATAAACCTCTAAAATTGTCTCCCTGAGATGAGGATTCTCAAATCCTTCCCAAATCCTAGTCCAGTATTTCCCAAGGCACCTGCTTAAGGATAATAAGTGTTCCTCGAAAAAAGGAGAGGAAGAGAGGAGTTTCATGGGTGAAGAAGTTAAATAGGGCTCGTGAAGCAGCTCTTGGACCCTGGACTTGGCAATGGACATTGAAAATCCTCCAAAGGTGATTGGAGTGTGCTGTGTTGTCCAAACTTACTTGATCATAGGACTTTCTTGCTCTCAAGTGTCTCCCATAGTGGCCCACACTGAAGGACCCTCTTAGAATTGGGCTCCACCCTGTGTTCTCCCTGGGCTGCTATCTGGGCTCCTGTGGATCATGTCTTTTTTTCTCATAAGAGACAAAATCATGAAAAATGAAAGAAAGATGTTCATTAAAAAGGACATAATGAAACATGAATAACAATTTTCTTGAGTAAGTTCTACATGCAGTGTGGGGTTTGAGCTCATGACCCTGAGACCTAAGTCGCACAGTCTCCTGACTGAGCCAGCCAGGCACCCCTGAATAACAAAATTTTAAAGACTGTTGCAAAATACAAAATATTTGAATACATTTTAACTATGTGTAGATTCATGACAGTACTGTGCAAATAACTCACTTTATTTTGGGGATTGTACTTGTACTTGTCTCAAAAATAACTGTTCATAGTTACACATTTCTTTGGCTTCCTGATTTTCTCATTTAACATCACGCTTTCTCATTTTTATGCTAAAAATTCTTCCTTCATTAAGACAGGTATCCATTTCCAAACACTAGGATATATATTTGTAACTGGGTTTTGTATTGCATTGTGAAAGCCTTCTCTACACTGTTGCTTGTTCTTGGCATAATGTCACATGTTGCTGATAAACATTCCAAAGTTCTGTGGGAGGTCTGGGTTCAAAATTCTGCACCACTGTATAGACCACCATAATGGCTACTGTTTATATTATATATAAATGGGAGCACTATGTCAATGGAGAAAGTAAGCCAAACTGTCAAACAGTTGATGAGACCAAAAAACTATCAAACCAAACTATCAACCAGTTTTTTTTTAACCTTTTAAGGGAAAATTACCTCACAGCCAATTAGTAATGTGGTGAAAACACTTGCAACTAAGAAGCTTATGGCAAAACTCTCTAGAACCCCTGTGGGCCCCAAGGTCAGTGCTCTTTGGGAATAGGGCTGCAGTGTGAAGGATAAAGCAGTATACAGCTCTCCATGAACATCGACCAATGTTGCTGTCACTCACTTCATTCACTCAGTGCTATGGGGTTAGACCCTGTGTTGAGCACTGGGGACTCTAAAGAATGTGACCTCAATGAGGGGAAATCCTCCCCCCCCACCCAGCCACATGTGTACAGTAGAGAGAACTCAGCCACCACTTTCCCCTTGGTACCTCCTCAAACCATGTTTACTTGATAAGGATGATAGTTGCTATTTCATAGATGAGTAAACTGAGGAAATAAAGTGAGGAAGTGGGTTGCCTGAGTTGACCCACTGATAAAACAGAAGTGAGCCCAGTGTCTCAAATCTACCAGGACTAAAGTGATGTTGGACACCCAGAGTGGGAACCCACTTCTCTGGCACAGTAGACGCAAATGACCTGAAGGTGAAGGAATGAGATGCACCCAGAGGGAGAAGTGAGGGTTGGAGTCTGGCCTCTAACAGATCCTCCTTTAAAAAAAGAAAAAGAAAAAGAAAAATTTTATTTATTTAAGGGAAAGAGGAGGAGGGAGAGGGAGAGGGAGAAGCAGACTCCCCAATGAGCAGGGAGCCCGACACAGGCTCAATCCCAGGACCCTGAGATCATGACTTGGGCTGAAGGCAGGCACCTAACCAACTGAGCCACCAAGGTGCCCCTGATGGGTCATCGGACTGAGAGTCCCTGTGACCTGTGACCCAATGTCAGCATATCCTTTATGTAAGGGCTCACTCCCAGCCTTGGCATCCTGCACCACTGTGTCTCCTCTCTGGGGAACAGC